TTTTTTTTTTTTTCCGGACAACCCGACACCGACACAGCAAACCGGACTGTCCGGGTCTGGATGTCTGGATGTCCGGTTTGATGTCCGGTTAAGCAGACGTCCGGTTTGATCCAGACACGGGTCCGGTGTCCGTGTCCGGTTGTCTGGGTCCGGGGCAACCATGGTATTACTAGTATTACTACTTAGAAAATATAATAATTATGTTTATCTTAAATTACTACTAACTAGTAATTAATAATTACATTGATAGCTAGAAGGTGGATTGCTTCAGGATGGGTACAGGATACGGCATTGAGGTTAGCGTCAGCATTACCTCCTTTTTGGAAACTGTTGATGGATTTGGCTGTGGTCAAACAAGTGAGTTTTTGTGGCAAATTATGCACCTTGCCGTCCCAACTGGGTGTTGGTGTGCTAGAAGAACTTCCTGTTTTTCATGTGTTGTTAACCTCCTCCTACCCTGTGGATTTATTATTATTATTATGTTTTTTAACTTTTTTACAAGAAACAGTAGTTGTATTAGGTGAATTTATTATTATTATTTTTTCATTATTATTATTATTATTATTATTATTATTATTATTATTATTATTATTATTATTAACAGCAAAATTCTCCATGGCCTTTGTTGTGTCTCACCTATTACACGATTCTCTCGGCTTCTGCAGCTGTCAAGAGATTTCCTCTTGAACTAATTCCTCTTTTGGAAAAAGCCCTTTGCTTGCACGTGCCCCTACCCTCAGGCTGGGTTCTGGCTACTAGCATCCTCCCAACACAACAGCCCTGATTAGGAATGTGTGTACAAGCTTTCTTTATCACAGTCAAAAACCCATGTTCGATCGCCAAAGACTCCACCAAACCGTCATGACTCTCTGAGTTAGACCCCCAGTAGTACTAACTCTGGATGAATAGAGGACATGATCAAGTAGCGCTGACCGCTGCTTTCTTTTCTGTGGTTTTTTATTGTAGTTTCCTTTTGCGTATGGTTTTCTTTTCGTGGTCTGTTGTTATTAGAGTTTCGTGATGATGAATTTAGATTTTGCTGATTATTTTAAATTTTTATTGATTTTTTAGTGGCAGGGGCTGTGGAGTTGCTTGTGGAGTTGTCTGTGGGGTGAAATCTAGTGGTGCCCTCGATGTGCTTGGCCGGTGATGCCTTGTCTGCTGAGGGGCCCACCTAATTTTGTAAGGGACGCCGGGCCCGGGTCCCGGCTTTAATAAAGACTTGTATTCTTTAAGAAAAAGAAAAAAAGGGACTAAAGTAGTGCCCGTTAACAAGCCACAATATTTAGGAAATGTACGGGCCTCTACAGGAGGAACGTTTCTACTCTATTCTTTTCCCCGGCCGATAGCTGGGCCAAGGACTGGTGGTTTAACCACACCGGGGGCCAAGTCCCACTAGCAGTGTTGAGCTACCTCAACGCGTGAATCTGGACGTGTTTGTGGAGACGTTCAGTTCAGGAAACTCAACACCATTTCTGCACATCTCCACAAAAGCGTCCAGATTCAGGCGTTGAGGTAGCTCAACGCTGCTAGTGGGATTTGGCCTGGCCTTAAGAGGCGATATAGGATCGTCAAGACAGTAGCCGCTCCGCACTCAGCGACCAGTGACAAATCGACAAGCGGAAAATTAAAGATAAATGACAACTTCAAAAAAAATAAAATAAAATGGTGACTAACTTCTTGACGTGTTCTTCCCCTCCCCCCCCCTCCTCCCCCGTTTTGGCCCTCGTCTTGCTGCAGGGTTGTATGAGGCCGGTGCTTTATCGGACCGCAAGCTCGTCAAGGACATGTATCTGAAAGTGAAATCGGAAGTTGAAGGAGGAATAGACTTTCTATTACAGAAGAGAGAGCAAGATCCGTACAACAACTTTCTGGCCCGCTTGGCATATGAGTCGATACTGCCGGGCACCAAGGCACCAGCTTTTCGTTTGTGATCGCTGCTGCACTGTATTTCAATCCGTCAAGCAATTCAGGCCCTCCTTCTGCACTAGGCAGACTCCGTTTCATTTCCTTTTTCTTTGCGTTTTCCTTGAATTTCTTTGTAGATTCACATTTTGTGCACTCGCTCACGGCTTGTAGTCGTATGCCTTGTCTCTCACAAATGTTTCATAACTTTAATTTGTAAAGGGGTACAGAGAACTGCTTTTGGCATTCAGATTCAGTGTGCTTATTCTCTTCATCTCGTCCACCCCCCTGCCCACCTCTCCCCACAACAACCTGTGTTCTTTTCTCGTGAACCCCAGAGTCACTATCCCACTCCAATCCTATCCCTCCCGCCCGCCCCCCCCTTCTCTCCCTCCACCTCCCCCTTCTCTCTCTCTCTCTCTCCCCCTTCTCTCTCTCTCTCTCTCTCTCTCTCTCTCTCTCTCTCTCTCTCNCACACACACACACACACACACACACACACACACACACACACACACACACACACACACACACACACGGACAGACAGAGAAAATGTATCTGCAAAAAGTGCATGAACGGAAGGCCAGAGGCAGTGTCATAAGAAGACTACCCAGCGCAAGGCAACACCATACAGAGACCTCACAAAGATAGGGAAAAAAAAGAGGAAACAAAATGAAACTTGAAAAAACAGAAAAGGGCACAGATGATGACAGATTGTTTCATCGGAGTTGTACTGACCCAACAGGGGGCTGAACCTTCAGGTATCTGCCGCATCCCCACATTGATGCTTTGAGTCCTGAACTCTTTTAAGTTTTAACCCCTGCTGTAAGTGGACAGACAGCACAAGCAGCAAGGTGTTGGACGACAAGCAGCAGCAAGGCACACAGACTGGTGGGCATGGGGGAGGCAGGTGGGCAGGAAAACAGCACAAGGCAGCAAGGCGAAAGGCAGGCAAACGACCGGGCAAGCAGATGCACGCATGGCACGCAAAGACCAGGCAGCGAGGCAAAAGGCAGCAAAGCAAAAGGCTACAAAGCAAAATGCAGTGAGGCAAAAAGCGGCAGGCAAACAGCAGCCAAACAACTACTGTCTTAACTCCAAAAAAAATGTATGTACGCTGTATAACAAAACAACGTACGGAGTACGTTGTATTCGAATACAATATGCTGTACAACGAGTTTTAGGGTACGACTTTGTAGGAGCTTGTAGTAACAGACATCATTTTTATTTTTTTTTCAGAATTTTTTGAATTTTTTTCTCGAATTTGGTTCAGAATTTCTCCAAGACCCTCAGGCAAAAGTTGTTTGTATTGCAATTTCGTACAACTGTTTTTTGGATTATTTTTGAAAATTAAAATCAGAAAACACTGCAAAATGCCATCAAAAGCTATGTTACCAGATCGGACGTCCAGGACCCCCCTGACCATCCGGGGTTGTCCAATCGGACAACTGGTCGGACGTCCTCCCCAGGCAGGCTGTCCGAGGCCCGAATGGCTAAAAAAAAAAAAGAAAACTAGGTTATGCAGAAAAATAAACTGAACAACTTTTGCCTTGAGGCTACATTGAAATTCTTTATCAAATTAAAAAAAAAAAAAAAAAAAGGAGCTCCTATACATTAATAGAGAGCAGCACTTGTTGGAAAACGGGTCAAACATGCAAAAAACACACATTATATCAATTTATATGCAGTCCACAATTGATTGCTCCTCACTCTAGGAGGGGGATTAACTGTCTGCAAAGCAGAAACTTCTATCAACACAGACGTCTTCAGCCTAATCTGAGGTGCAAAAGATCACATTGAAACCAGGTCTGTAGCTATCCCCCTTTTTGCAGTACTACGAGAACTGGCTATTTCTGTTCATCTCTTACTTTGGCAGACTTTTGTGGCCTTGCTACTGTTTCCTTCCCAGTGTGAGTGTGACTGTGTGTGTGTGTGTGTGGGTGTCGGTGTGTGTTTGTGTGTGTACATAGTGCGCGTGTGTGTGTGTGAGTAGATAGTGTGTGTGTGACTCTGTGTATCTGTGCTCACGTGCATGTCACTCGTTGTGTTTGTGTGTGGATAGAATGTGTGTGTGTGTGTGTGTGTGTGTGTGTGTGTGTGTGTGTGTGTGTGTGTGTGTGTGCCGCTGTCACTGCAGCTGCTGCATCTGCCGGAGCAGATGGTGCACATGCTGCGTCAGACGAAGCAGCTGCAGTCGCTGCATGTGCAGCAGTTGCAGACTGCAGCAGCGGGCCCTCCATTTCAACTCCCCAAGCAATCCACCCCCGCCAACACCCCACCATCACACCTCGCCTGCCGTATCTGAATTTTTTTTTTGTTTTTGCTCAGAACAGCCTGAATTTTTTTTGGGGGGGGGCCCTAGTGGTGCGCAGACCCCCCCCGTTTTTTGTTTTTTTTTCTTTCATTTTTTTTTGGCGAAAAAGCAGTTGTCCGATTTTCCGGACAACTCTTCCCTGACCGTCTCCCGGAGATGTCCGGGGGAGAGGTCTCCCCATCGGACAGCTGGCAGCCTAACTCAAAAGATATTTTTAATTTTTTTTAATTTTTTTTCTCAAATTCCGTTGTGAATTTCTACATGACCCTCAGGCAAAAGTTGCTTGTATTGCAATGTTGTACAACTTTCGTTTTGTTTCGAATTTTTGATTTTTTGCAAAATTTGAAATTACTACAAATTAGCAAACATTTGAATACAACGTACGTACTACGTACATTATATTCGACAGTACGTTCTATTCGGGAAAAAGATGAGCGATTTCGGAAAACCCATTTTTTCGAGGTCAGTTGAATATAGAACGTACATACATTTTTTTCTCAGGTTAAGACGGTAGGCAAGCAGAACAGAAAGACGAGGCAGCAACACCGCGAAAGGCTGTTACGCAAAGGGCAGCGAGGCAAAAGGGAACAAGGCAATGCTGAGGCCAAAGGCAGTGAACAACCAAGACAGCAAGGCAAATGGCAGCAGGGCAAAAGGCGGTGAGGCAAACAGCAGCAAAGCAAAAGGCGGGGAGGCAAACAAAGGAAAAAAGGCAAAGCAAGCAAGTGGATGCCTGGGCGAGCAGAAGAGCAGTAGAGGCAAGGCAGTCTACACACAACCAACACGGACATCATGTACATTGGTCTTCGAGAGTCGAAGTGAGCCTGTTGCGTGAACACAGCTGTAGGTAGGATAGTCGAGTAGAGTAGGCTGGGCGCTGGGCGCCAGATAGAGAGGAGCGACTTTGGATACTGTGTTGGTGTGGCCTGAAGGCTTGAACATTGGCTCATTACTTCATTGTATTGCTCTATTTGGATGGATTCTCAGTGCAATTGTGCTCTCTGCTTGTACACGACTACTTGGACATCTGTGTGATTTCGCAACTTGGTTTTCTGTATATCGTTCACATTCATATTCCTTGCAATTTAAGTTGGTTAGTGATCGCCTTACCTGGCGCTGGCGACATCGTTACTTGGTGCGCTGACGATGCTTCATGTGCAGTAAGGATACTTTAGCGCTGGCTTGATTGAGCGGGGCCCAGATAGAGGGGCTGGAAGGCTGTGGCGACAGTGTGGGAGCTGTAGCGACAGCGGGTGCATGTATGATGATGAGAGGATGCTGACATGGCATTTTGGCTGAGGTGGCACTGCGTTGCGTTGTGGGTGGTACCGAGGCTATTGACCGGTCATAGAAATGCACGTCGGCCCAATTGGTAAGAAATTTGTGGTTGGGGCCAGCTATCTCCAGGTACGTTGTTCCCATTCCTTATCTACCGTCTCAATCTCTTCTTACCGTGAGGAAGTGAGTCCAACCTTGAGTGTGCTCTTTTTGGTGAGGAGTCTTGTGTGCTCTATCTTGAGAGACTACATTCTTCCCGGTGGCGCATCTGGCAGGAGAGGGCGGTGCCTCTGAAGGGCCCTGGTCGAAGCACGGGTCATGGTCACCATGCCAACGCATGGGAGTAGTGCACGCAGGCCATGCTGCTTTGTCCTTTGAGGCTCTTTGCTGCGCTGATGGAAGGGGTGTGCGGACTGACCAGTCCTAAGCAGACACTCCCAGACCGTCTATAAACATTTTTGGTTAGGGTCTGAACTGTCCACTGACGGCGATCGTCATCCTGATTGCGACGTTAAATAATTCCTGAGGACTCTCGGGGTTGTCCTTAAATTGCCTCTTGATCAGCCAGATCAGTCAGATGTAAGGCTCGTTGCCCGCTAGGGTAAATAACAAGCAGGCTGGTCATAAGCATACGCCTTGGGCTCAGGGGTGGGTCGTTGTTGCACACCTTAGACATTGTCGCTTGATGATGCTCACAGGTACGTTGGATACAGGGGAAGGTGATTCCTATTGAGGGCTCAACTGTAATACATTGTCATATCCATTGTGCATATATCTGCTCACATTAGTCTAATTTTTATTTTGATAGATTGGTTGACAGACTGCTGACACCTAACAGACATAGTCAGTTTTTGTCAAAGCTATTGTGCAGAACTAATCAGGATAGAGATAGACTAGCTATTGTGCAGAACTAATCAGGATAGAGATAGACTATGTGTACAGTTTGTGTAGGTGTTGTTAATGCTGCTTGACAGGTAGTCTATGTAGCTCGCCCGACATTAATTTATTTTATTTATATTTAGAACCGGTCAGACGCATGGTGTGGTAGGTCCCAGTGAGGACACTAATGCAGACACGTCTGTCGAGCCAATGAATGGATCAGAGGGTGGTGAAGGTACTGTTGACGATAGGAGGCAAACACGAAGGGATAACGGTAGGATACCCGAAGTGTTCCAGGTCGTACCACCAGGAGACGAAAGAAGAATAAGGGCCGAAGCTAGGGCCTGCAATCTAGAGGCTGCAAGGGCAGCAGCAGCAGTTGTGGAGAGAGCTTTGGCAGCAGCAGCGGTGAGTGCGGTAGCAATGGCTACCTCTGCAACATTGTCTGCTGCAACCTCCCTCGGCATGCCGCAGGGATGGTCTCTCTCGCAGTCTGGCTCCAATAGGTCAGGATCTAGCTCTAGTCAGATGGCGGGCGTGCAGTCCAGCTTGCAACCTCCACACACCCGGGAGCAGATGGCCCTCCAACAAGTAGAGAGGATCCGCATAAAGCTAGCGGAGGCACTTAGAAAGGCTCCCGAAAGAGAAAACGAAATTAGAAATAGAAGTGCAAGAGTGAAGAGTAGGGAGGCAGACAAAGCTGCATTAGAGGTGTTAGATGACTAAGGCCTTGACAACACAACAAAGGTCT